GTGTGTGGGGCTGATACACAGCAGGCGCTTGTTATCTGCGATTTTTCTTGTCTAATGTTTTCTTTCGTTCTTTTTCTCTCTTTTTTCTTTCTTTTTCTCTCTTTCTTTTTCTCTTTTTTTTCTTTTTCTCTTTTTTTCTCTCTCTCCTTTGTTCTTTTTATTTTTTTGTTTTTCGTTGCTTTTCTCTTCATTTCCTGTTTGCTTTTTATTTTATCTTTATTTTTATTTTTTTACTGTTTTCTCTTTTTTATTACTTTTTTCTCTTTTCTTTTGTTTTCTTTTTTTCTTTTGTTTTCTTTTTTTTTGTTTTGTTTTCTTCCTCTCTAATGTTACTTTTTTCTCTCTCTTTTTCCTTCATTTTCTTTTTTTCCACGTCTCTTCCCTTCTCTCCTAGTTCTTAGCGTTACTACCACTCCTTTTTATTCTCATATCTTTGCATTTTTTTTTTCTTTCTCACCATAAGCATCAGCCACCATATCTAATTCATCTTTATACCTTTTTATCCCCAATTTATCTTACTTTTCCCTTCGTAGTCATTCACTCGCCCACCGTAGTATGCAGTTGGCAATTACTCCATTTACATCATCAAACACTATCACATTCACTACTCGTTGATCCTCAGTTCGCTAGTAACACGCACGGCTGAAATATACGTCTCCGAGACTGCGGGTTTGAATCCTGCCTACGGTCCGGTGTTTAAGAAGAATGTCTTAGGTGGGACAGAGGAAAAAAAGTCTTTATTGGATTATTATGTAATTTAGCAATTCATTTTTTTTTGTTTTTTTTTGTTTTGTTTTGTTTTGTTTTGTTTTCTTTATATTAAGGATCTTTCTGTAGAAAAAAATGGAAAGGTGTAACGTGACGTCGGTTTTATAATGGTGATAAACATAATAATGATAATGATAATGATAATAAAATAGCGATAATAATAATAGTAATGATAATAATAATAACGATAAAAATGATGATAATGAGAATAAGAATAAGAATAAAGAGGATAATGATATTGATGATAATAATAATAATACGATGATGATAATATAATAACAACGACAACAATAATAATGATAATAATAATATTAATGGCAACAACAATAACAGCAGCAATGGTAATAATGATAATGATAATACTGATAATGATGATAATAATAATGATAATGAAACTGATAACAGTAATGCCAATAACATAAATGATACTAATGTTAGTACAAATACCAATAACATAAATAGTAATAACAATAATAATAATCATAATAACAACAATAAAAACAGAAGACCAGCAATAACAGGACCAGTAATTCCAATAACTAGACTATTTCCCTTAATGGTGTCTCATCAGATCACGATATGTTCACGACCTATTAGTGTCACAAAGATGAACCTGTAAATAACATCTCCGTGGATTGTACTGCCAAGAAATCAGTCCCTCGTAATTAAGGTTATCATCTGTGTCACTGTATGTTCTTCGTGGGGTATAACGAGTGTAGTTGATCATTGGGAGATAATGCGGTTTTTTTTGTAGATTATAGGTTGTAGATATGTTGAAATGTGTGTGTGTGTGTGTGTGTGTATGTGTGTGTGAGAGAGAGAGAGAGAGCGAGAGAGAGAGAGGGAGGGAGGTAGAAAGAGAGGGAGGGAGAGAGAGAGAGAGAGAGAGAGAGAGAGAGAGAGAGAGAGAGAGAGAGAGAGAGAGAGAGAGAGAGAGAGAAAGCACAATCAGAAACAGTAAGAGAAACAATAAAACAAACGAAAAGAGATACGCAAAAAAAAAGCTAAAAAGCTAAAAATAAACAAATAAAATAAAATATAACACCGTGGAACTTTCGTATCGTAATGACCCGTCTTTTAGAATCGTGGAGAGCCATCCTTGTGTAAATTTCAGAAATGAGCAAAATCTTGGGCCAATGTGTCTTGAATATTTGTTTTTTTCTTTTTCGGTGCAACATTGGGTCTATATTTGCAACACGTGCTATTTGGTACTTGGGGCGGGCTGGGAAGGGGGGTGGGGGGACGGGTGAGGGAGGGGGGGATATCGACTCCCTGTTCCTCTCTATCTATTTTATAAATGTGTTTTCTGACTGCTTGTTTTTAAAGCTATTTCTATGTCCAGTTTTATCGGTATTTCTGTATTTCTTTGTAGTGGTTTAATATGATAATGAGAATTAGAAACTATATTTTCAACTAGAGATTATAAGGAAATAAAATAAACTGACTGTTTTTTTTTCTCTCTCTCTCTTAATATTTTTTTATTTATTAACCTGTTATTCCCAATGTTTTACCTTTCTTGCCCCCTTTCTGAATAGTTCATTTGTACCTTGAATCTTTCTGTTCATATGCTATTGTTATTCTCTCTCTCTCTTTATCTTTTTCTTCCTCTCTTCCTTTCTCTTTCTTTTTCTCTTTTTCTCTTTTTTTTCTCTTTCTCTTTCTCTTTCTCTCCCTCTTCCTCTTCATTTTCCTCTCTCTCTCTCTCTCTCTCTCTCTCTCTCTCTCTCTCTCTCTCTATCTATCTATCTATCTATCTATCTCTATCTCTCTTTCTCTCTGTTTTTGTCTCTGTCTCTGTCTCTCTCTTTCTCTTTCTTTCCATCCCTCCTTTCCTTCCTCTCTCCCTCTCTCCCTCCCTCTCTCCCTTCCCATCCGCCTCCATTACCCTATCTCTCTTCCTCTCCCACCATCATTACCAAACACCATTCCTAATCTACTCTTAATCTCTCTTTCTCTCTCTTTCGCAGACATCACCCCTAAAGAGCCAGTGATTCGCCCTCCGATCTGGTATCTGCGTTATGCTGCCCTGCCCATCGCCGCTGGTAAGACTGCGTTCGATTCCGTTCTGTGGTTGTTGTTGGTGAGAATGATTGTGTTCGATTCCGTTCTGTGGGTGTTGTTGGTGAGAATAATTGTGTTCGATTCCGTTTTGTGGTTGTTAGTGAGAATGATTGTGTTCGATTCCGTTCTGTGGGTGTTGTTGGTGAGAATGATTGTGTTCGATTCCGTTCTGTGGGTGTTGTTGGTGAGAAAGACTGTGTTCGATTCTGTTCTGTGGGTGTTGTTGGTGAGAATGATTGTGTTCGATTCCGTTCTGTGGGTGTTGTTGGTGAGAAAGACTGCGTTCGATTCCGTTCTGTGGGTGTTGTTGGTGAGAATGAGTGTGTTCGATTCCGTTCTGTGGGTGTTGTTGGTGAGAAAGACTGTGTTCGATTCTGTTCTGTGGGTGTCGTTGGTGAGAATGATTGTGTTCGATTCCGTTCTGTGGTTGTCGTTGGTGAGAAAGACTGTGTTCGATTCTGTTCTGTGGTTGTCGCTGGTGATAAAGACTGTGTTCGATTCCGTTCTGTGGGTGTTGTTGGTGAGAATGATTGTGTTCGATTCCGTTATGTTGTCGTTGGTGAGAATGATTGTGTTCGATTCCGTTCTGTGGTTGTTGATGGTGAGAAAGACTGCGTTCGATTCCGTTCTGTGGGTGTTGTTGGTGAGAAAGACTGTGTTCGATTCCGTCCTGTGGTTGTCGTTGGTGAGAAAGACTGTGTTCGATTCCGTTCTGTTGTCGTTGGTGAGAAAGACTGTTCGATTCCGTTCTGTGGTTGTCGTTGGTGAGAAAGACTGTTCGATTCCGTTCTGTGGTTGTCGTTGGTGAGAAAGACTGTGTTCGATTCCGTTCTGTTGTCGTTGGTGAGAAAGACTGTTCGATTCCGTTCTGTGGTTGTCGTTGGTGAGAAAGACTGCGTTCGATTCCGTTCTGTGGTTGTCGCTGGTGAGAAAGACTGTGTTCGATTCCGTTCTGTGGTTGTCGTTGGTGAGAAAGACTGTGTTCGATTCCGTTCTGTGGTTGTCGTTGGTGAGAAAGACTGTGTTCGATTCCGTTCTGTGGTTGTCGTTGGTGAGAAAGACTGCGTTCGATTCCGTTCTGTGGTTGTCGCTGGTGAGAAAGACTGTGTTCGATTCCGTTCTGTGGTTTTCGCTGGTAAGAAACACTGTGTTCGATTCCGTTCTGTGGTTTTCGCTGGTAAGAAACACTGTGTTCGATTCCGTTCTGTGCTTATATCAGGTTTAATTGCGTTTTTTCTTGTTTGTGTGGTTGGTTGTTATTCTTGTTATTCTTACTATTTTTATTATTATCACTACTACAGTGGTAGTTATTACTGCCAGTACTGCTAATGATAATGATAATGATGCTATATTTACCACTACTACTAATATTACTACTATTATTAATATTACTACTAATATTACTAGTAATAATGATAATAATAATAATAGTATTGATAATAATAATAATAATTATTATTATTACTATTATCATTATTATTATCATCATCATCATCATCATTTTGCTTCTACTTCTACGTTTTCATTTTGATTCTAAAAAAAATCATGTTTTTTTTGTGGGGGGGGGGAGGGGGAGGAGAGGTTAATGCTATATTTTTTCTGTAATTTTGTCCTCATTTTTCCTACTATCCTTCTGATAGATAATATTCTGGTAGGTGAAATGAGTGACGTGTTAGTCAAAATTATTATAAAGACTGTTAGTACAAAAAAAAAAAAAAAAAAAAATCCAAGAGTGCTTCGTAAATCTAATTTACATAAACATATACATCAGGATTTAAACCATATCATACAATCAAACAACAACTACTACAGAAACAAACAAAGCAAAACAAAATGGAACAAAAAGACATCAACAATAACAAATAATAAAAAAAAACACACTAGGCAACCCCCTACATCAAAATAGCCCTAAGTAGTCGATTTAACTTCACGCTTTGACGTTTTTCGGGCGTAAACTTTCATTATTTCAATATTTATTAATGTTTTATTGTCGTTTCTGCTTTCGATACCTTTCGTTGTCGGTTATTGGTATTTGTAATTTCATTTGTTGTCTTTATCGTTTATTTATTTTATTATTATTATTATTATTATTACTTTTATTATTATTATTATTATTGTTATTATTATTATTATTATTATTGTTGTTGTTGTTGTTGTTGTTGTTGTTGTTGTTGTTATTATTATTTTTTTTACTCGGGTTTGAATATTTCTTTATAATTATCAAAGGTGTTCCTGTTACTTTCTTTATATTCCTTCTCCTTACCCCCCCCCCCTCTCTGTCCTCCTCTTCTTCCTCCTCTTTATCCTTCTTCTTCTTCTCCTCCTATTTTTTCATCTTCCTTCTTCTCCTTCTAAGACTTCCTTTTCTCCTTTTTATTCTCCTCCTCCTTCTCCATTTCTATTCCCTTCTCCTTCTTCTTAGATTTTCTTCTACTTCTTCTTCTTCTTCTCCTCCTCCTGCTCCTCCTATTTCTTCTTCTTATTATTATTCTCCTTCTCCTTCTCCATCTCCATCTCCTTTTCCTACTTCTTATTATTATTCTAATACTTCTTCTTTTCTTTCCTTTTTTTTCTTATTTCACCTTTTCTTCTTTTTCTCTTTCTTATTTTACTTCTTCTTCTTCTTTTCTTCTTCAACTCCCTCTTCTTCCTCTTCTTTTTCTTCTTCTTTCTTCTTCTTCTTCTTCTTCTTATTATTATTATTATTATTATTATTATTATTATTATTATTATCCTTCTACTTTTTTTCTTCTTCTCCCTCTCCTCCTCCTCTTCTTTCTTCTTTTCCTTCTTCTCCTTCTTCTCCTTATTATTATTATAATTGATTATTATTATTACTATTATTATTATTTTTATTATTATTATCATTATTTCTCCTCCTCCTCCTCCTCCTCCTCCTCCTCCTCCTCCTCCTCTTCCTCCTTCTCCTCCTCCTCCTCCTCTTCCTCCTCCTCCTCCTCCTCCTCCTCCTCCTCCTCCTCCTCCTCCTCCTCTTGCTCCTCCTCCTCCACCTCCTCCTCCTCTTCCTCCTTCTCCTCCTCCTCCTCTTCCTCCTCCTCCTCCTCCTCCTCTTTCTCCTCCTCCTCCTCCTCTTTCTCCTCCTCCTCTTCCTCCTCTTCCTCCTTCTCCTCCTCCTCCTCTTCCTCCTCCTCCTCTTCCTCCTCTTTCCCTCCTTTCCTCCTCCTCCTCCTCTTCCTTCTCCTCCTCCTCCTCCTCCTCCTCCTCCTCCTCTTCCTTCTCCTCCTCCTCCTCTTGCTCCTCTTCCTCCTCCTCCTCCTCCTCTTCCTCCTTCTCCTCCTCCTTTTTCTACTCCTCTTCCTCCTCCTCCTCCTCCTCTTCCTCCTTCTCCTCCTCCTCCTCTTCCTCCTCCTCCTCCTCCTCCTCTTTCTCCTCCTCCTCCACCTCCTCCTCCTCCTCCTCCTCTTGCTCCTCCTCCTCCTCCTCCTCCTCCTCCTCCTCCTCCTCCTCCTCTTCCTTCTCCTCCTCCTCCTCTTGCTCCTCCTCCTCCTCCTCCTCCTCCTCTTCCTCCTTCTCCTCCTCCTCTTCCTCCTCCTCCTTTTCCTCCTTCTCCTCCTCCTCTTCCTCCTTCTCCTCCTCCTCCTCTTCCTCCTCCTCCTCCTCCTCCTCCTCCTCTTCTCCTCCTCCTCCACCTCCTCCTCCTCCTCCTCCTCTTGCTCCTCCTCCTCCTCCTCCTCCTCCTCCTCCTCTTCCTCCTTCTCCTCCTCCTCCTCCTCTTCCTTCTCCTCCTCCTCCTCCTCCTCCTCCTCCTCTTCCTTCTCCTCCTCCTCCTCTTGCTCCTCCTCCTCCTCCTCCTCCTCCTCCTCTTCCTCCTTCTCCTCCTCCTCCTCCTCTTCCTCTTCCTCCTCCTCTTCCTCCTCCTCCTCCTCTTCCTCCTTCTCCTCCTCCTCTTCCTCTTCCTTCTCCTCCTCCTCCTCCTCCTCTTCCTTCTCCTCCTCCTCCTCTTGCTCCTCCTCCTCCTCCTCCTCCTCCTCTTCCTCCTTCTCCTCCTCCTCCTCCTCTTCCTCCTCCTCCTCTTCCTCCTCCTCCTCCTCCTCTTCCTCCTTCTCCTCCTCCTCCTCTTCCTCCTCCTCCTCCTCCTCCTCCTCCTCTTTCTCCTCCTCCTCCTCCTCTTCCTCCTTCTCCTCCTCCTCCTCTTCCTCCTCCTCCTCCTCCTCCTCTTTCTCCTCCTCCTCCTCCTCTTTCTCCTCCTCCTCGTCCTCCTCTTCCTCCTTCTCCTCCTCCTCCTCTTCCTCTTCCATCTCCTCTTCTTCCTCCTCTTCTCCTCCTCCTCCTCCTCTTCCTCCTTCTCCTCCTCCTCCTCTTCCTCCTCCTCCTCCTCCTCCTCTTTCTCCTCCTCCTCCACCTCCTCCTCCTCCTCCTCCTCCTCTTGCTCCTCCTACTCTTCCTCCTGCTCCTCTCCTTCTCCTCCTCTTCCTCCCTCTCCTCCTCCTCTTCCTCCTTTTCTCCTCTCTTCTCCTCCTCCTCCTCCTCCTCTTGCTCCTCTCCTCCTCCTCCTCTTCCTCCTCCTCCTCTTCCTCCTCCTCCTCTTCCTCCTCCTCCTCCTCCTCTTCCTCCTTCTCCTCCTCCTCTTCCTCCTCCTCCTCTTCCTCCTCCTCCTCCTCCTCTTCCTCCTTCTCCTCCTCCTCTTCCTCCTCCTCCTCCTCCTCTTGC